CGTAGTGATGGCCTTGGCCTCGGGGAGGATCCCTTGGTCGAGGATGCGTTTCTCTGTTGCCCGTGTTTCTATTTTCAGGGGATCGACGTTCCCTGCACGAGGGGTGAGGCCGCGTCTCCTGGTAGCTTCGGGAAGTGGTCTCCCTAAAGTGGGGCGTCTCCTAGTCCGTCAAGGAGAGAAGCTTCGAGATCTGTCTCGTTTGTGTCTCCGTGGGGGAGACTGAGGACGGTCTTCATTCTGACAGGGAGGTGGAGTGTCAGGTCTTCTATGCCTTCTGGGGGCTCAGTGAGAATCCTCGAGCACCCTTAATCGTTCACCTTGCGAGAAAATTAAGTAATTTGTTTGGTTAATGGCCGCGAACAGAGCCCTGGTCGTGGCATCAGCGCCCGCGGGAACGAGGAACTCCTAGAAAACGTTTGGCTCATAGTTCTGGGACGGATGGAAATCATCGTATGGCTGAGAATGGGATGATGAAGAGGAGGTCATGCCGTCTCTATAGTGTTGCATGAGGCCGGCCATGTAGATGTCGTTCTCGTTGTTGTTGTTGTTACCCATGTTGTCGACGACGTTGTTGTTGGGTCGGCGAGATGGGCGTTTAGGTTGTTGTTGGCAGCTAGGTCAGCCATGACAATCACGGAGTTTGATGGTTACTTTAGTCTTAGGTAAATGAAAGATGGGGAAGCTTGTTTCCTACAGACGACGCCACTGATCGTACCTGACTAAAATTGATTGTCAAAGCCCATGAGCTTTGAGTTGGACGAAAGTTGTAGATGAGACGGGGGATACCTGCAAGACACTTTGATGCCAAAATAAGGTTCATAATTATGCAAGCAAGTATGAGTGAGTGAGATAGAATGATTCAATACCTGACCCTCTCAAGTGAGAGGGTATTTATAGCCCCCGGTGCTGGACCAATGTCCCTAATATTGGGCCACGATGAGGCCCAATAATGAAGACTGTTAGGGCTTACATGTGTATGGAGTCCAACACATGGCCTCTCTCCTGGTCAACTGCCGCGAGAAATCAGGAGTTTGACTCGTTATTCTCGGAGGGCAGAATGATGATGATGATGATATGGACATGTGGGTCATGTTCCCCAACGAACACGTGGGGAGTTACCCAATGATCCCCAACTTGGGTTGCTCGTCTTTGGGCCTTATGCAAGGATGCTATTGACCTCCCCAACCGGGGGGGGGGGGGGGCAGGAGAAAATAAGAACAAAATTCTAGCTATTAAAGTCGAAAATTTAAACTCTGATGGTGACATGTCACTGATGGTACGAAACTTCAGAAAATTGTTGAAGCATGGGAAACAACAACAAGAGGGAAAAAATATAAATGTAGAAAAATTTCATTCACTCTTACGTGTTATTAGTTTGGAAAGAAATGACATATAAGACCAAACTATCTTCTAGGTAAAAAGGAAAATCAAAATTAAAAGAAATCTAAGAAAGAAAAATATAAAGAAGACTTACATCGATTAGGATGACAATGATATAGAGTCCTCAAATGATAAAGAAGTAAATATATGTATCATGGAAGAACATCAAGATGATGAGGTAATCTCATAATTTTCTTATCAAGATATATATCGCATTTCTATGAAGCTAACAAAAGAAATAAGTAAATTAGAACAAATTGTATCTACCTCCAATAATATCATTTCTTCCCTTGAATTAAAAAATAAAAACTTGTTGGAAGAAATTTAAAATCTTAGAGAGATACAAAATGTTCTAGTTCAAAATTCTTCCCATTCTGTCAAAGAATTAGATAAAATTTTCAAGTGCAGTAATTAAAATAGTTTGAAAAATAATTTTTTTGACTTTAAAACACTCGATAAGTTCACTAAGGCTTTGTTTGGGAGTTCAGAGGAGAAGGGATGAGAATACTTTGAAAAGGGGAAGGGTTGAGTGAAAAAAATAGTAGAGTTTAGGTGGAGAGGGTTTTGGAGGCTTTGTATTTATTCAAAACACAAAATTCCCCTAATTTGTGGAACTCAAAATTTGTATTGAATGAGGGTTTGAAGAGCCTGCATAAATTTTTCAAATATATTTTATATGGTTATAGTATTCTGAAAATAAAAAATATAATAATTATAACACTCTTATATCATTCTATACAAAATTATTCTTTCAAAAAATATCAAATATTTTTGTATATTTTTAAAAAATTCATTTTTGGAAGTTTTGCTTTCCCATCCCATCCAAACTCTCAAAAAAGTCCTAAAGGAATAGACAACTTGAATCTTTTGCTGAGAAATCAAAGAACTTCCTACAATAAGGCCAGTCTTGACTATGAACCCAAGAACAATAGTAAAAACTTTAATAATACTTGTAATATTAAAACTACATCTCATTGTAAAACCTTAAAATATAATTATTATAATAAATATGATCACATTTCTATGTTCAATTTCATTAAAAAAAGTTACGTTCATTAAAAGAGTCATGAGAGCAAAGAAGGACACCCTCCTTCTTACTTTTATAAAAAAGAATTATGAGCACAAAATGAAAATATATCTGCCTCATCATATCTACCTTTTAATACTAACACAAATTGTTATTTTAAGTAAAAAAAAACTTTTAAATTTATCACAAATTTTAAATACCACAATTCACCCTCTTCCTTCTTATTCTTGGTTTCACTTGTTCAACAGTAAGACGAAAAATATGGGATGTAAGTTCGACAAAAGAATAATCATTTTCAACTTACAGGTGAAGGTTGAAGATCATTTTATCTCACAAATCATGTGGTTTAAATATATTGGGTCTGTAATACAAAACGATGAAGAAATAGAAGGGAGTGCAAACCATCAAATTCAAGTTGGGTGGATGAAATGAAGAAGGAGTCTCAAGGGTTTTATGTGAGATCTGAGATATTGTACGAGACAAAATGTAAGACAATTAATAATCAAAACAAGAATAAAGTAAGTATAGCATAAATGAGGATGTTGTATTGGATGTGTGGTAAGACTAGACAAGATAAGATTATAAATGACAATATTATAGAGTGTGTAGGGGTAGAACCTACGGCAGAAAAGATTATAGGAAATAGATTTATGTGATTTGAGCATGTAGAGAGAAGATCAGTATATTCTATTGTAAGGAGAATAAATTAGATAAAGATGAGTCAAACAATTAGTGGTAGAGGAGGATCTAGAAAAACTATAAGCGAAACTATTAAGAAACCTCTTGAGATTAATGAATTGGATAAAAACATGGTCTTTGATAGAATATTATGACAGAACTTGATCCTTGTAGTCGACCTCACTTAGTTGGATAAGATTTGATTGTTGTTGTTGTTGTTTTTGTTGTTGCTATATGCAAGATTGTCAAAATAACCATCTAGATCTTAAAATCTTATGATTTTGCAACCTCACTCGCCTCCAACGACCTCGATCTTAAGCAGAATCGTATCATGTAGCCAAATTGTGAAAAAAATTATAAAATCATTTATTATGTGCAATCTTGGCCAGTTCCAGCCACGATCGACCATTTTGTAGTTACCACCATTATAAATCGAGAAGGATGACAAGATGTTGATGGATCAATTGTGGTTCGACTGAGGCTATTTTCCCACAAATACACTTGCCTACCAAAATATCAAGTAAAATACTTCAAATATATAATATTATTTTTCGTCTCAGTAATATCTTGCCGTTTTTATTACAATCTTATGTTTTACGATCTTGTTATCCTCTCTCGATCTTGCAAAAATAATTGGATAGGATCTTAAGATATTATATTTTACAATCTTACTATCCCTTCTTGATTTTATGCAAGATCCCGATCTTGACAATTTTGTTTGTATGTAACATTACCATCACAAATTATTTTACTCATTTGTATTTATGAATAATTATCTTGATTACCATCACAAATTATTTCACTTATTTATATTTATTTGTGAATAATCATGTTGATACACAATTAATATTATGGAGTCCTTATTTTAATTATTATTTTAATTATACAAGTGTTAAACATGAACTTGTGTGGTTTTTTAGTTTTTTTTTACAAGTGTAGTATTCTACTTTCCATGATTCTACCATAAGCTAAGCATTCCTTATATATGTACCTTGTGATACTTAGCAATAATAGTTTTTAATGTAACTTTAGTGTTATGGTGTGGGTTTGAGCATAGAATCATAAAATGGAATTGTAGATTTTGTTCTTACTCTAGCATGTGAACAAACCAAAACTTCATTAGTTACCCCTCTGGTCACTGTCTTCAATGTCTAAACTTCATTGGAACAAAGAGTAGAGCATAATTCCAAGCAACTGACAAATATATTAAAATTTCAATATCAGAAGATGCTTCTGATCTAGAGACAGAGAGCCACATTTTACCCTTATTGACATCCATGCATACACCACTACAATTGGTGGATTGGATATAACCCACTTTACTTTATTTCACAATCTAAACAAAATGTCTTATCGATGTATTAGTACTTTAATAAATAGAAGCTTGTTAAAGATCAATTTAAAAATATGCACTGGCCACGAGGGCATAACCATACTAATGACAGTTAACACATGCTCCTGAATTGGAATGTTTTGGCTAATGGAAAAAGCTACACACATAAATGATAAATTAAAAGCAAGCATCCAAAACCATATACTATTAAATTTGCATGAAAAAGAGACTTGTAAGAAATGTTGGAAACCATAACTTTATTCATTGAATAATTTATTGATGATTGTTTGGAATGTATGATCCCTAAACAGAAATGTATAAAACAACAATAAAAACATTGAAAACAATGACATCAAAACAAGTCCCAAGTCCCCCTATTGAGCAGACAGCCATTTATACATATATGTATAGTTTATCTTTATCTTTCTATCTATATCTACAGATCTAACTCTAGATCCAGAATACATTAATGTGATATAACAGTAACTGATATAACTTATACTTTTGGCTGGCTTAATATAGCTATCCTACAACCCTTCGATGCCATTGTCTTCGAACGGACCCCGGCCGGCACTGTAAAAATCATTCTTCTTCTATCTTGTTCTGTTCGTTCGCATTTCGTAGAAACCTCTCGACGCACTTCTTATTGACATCAAAGATGAATGACAAGTCCAAAATCTGCATGTAAGCCATTTATTTACTATAAATTATCCCGCACTGTGAGGAAAAACGAACAATATTGCCGCACTACTTTAACGTACGAGTTGCTTAAGAATGGAAAAGGAAATGCAGTTACCTCAATCAAACTACCAGCACTCAGACCCCGCATTTGTCCTTTAGGAACTTCTTTGCCATTCAAGTATAACGTCCTCTTGCCAAGGTTTTTGATCGTGAAAGAACCATTTGCGTCCATCTTTATTGAAGCCTGTAGATATTAAGTAGCAGTTCACATTTCATTCTAAAATAAATTCAGCAAAAGAAACTTATAGGGGCTTTAAAGGACATTAAGCTCATTCTTAAAATCAATATATTTGAACTTAAAGGGGCTTCCAGTTCATCAGTAACATCAACCATGCAAGGAATTGAGACACAGTTTCTGAGATATCTTACTTGTCTTCTAGATATCTTGTGAGCATCTTTTGCTGCTCTAGCCAAGTCAATATCAACATCTTCATCAGGCGTTGATCTGCCAATTATCACCTTCGAAATAGAAGGAGATTGTAAAAATATAAGAAAAATATTTATACTGAAAACAAACACAACTTATGGAGTAACACAGATTAAGCTAACACCAAAATCAAAATTTTGAATGTAGAGCTAGGCACACACAAAGGACATTTTTGTAATACAGTTCACCCTAATAAATATGTTATTTCAGAACTGCAAATACCACTGCAGAATTTATTTCATCAAAATTTAAATACAAATATAACATATAGATATAAAAGATATGCAAAGATCAGAAAAGTAAGATCATCAATAAACATTGACCCTCCTAGATATAAAAACCTAGTAGACACGGTCACAAAAACAAATGAAAGCTAGTCTACTCAAGTTAGTTTCCCGTTTGTCAAAGCTAGAGCACTAATAGTAATGCAATGGTACTAGACCAATACTATGCAAGACAACAAATCATGGTATGGAAATCACGACGACGTGCAAACAAGAGTTCCTGCCTGTATGGGTAAAACAATATGGGTAAAAGTTACTGCCCATATTTTAAAGGAAAATAAGAGCTCCAAATTCATAAATGCACCTCAGATTTTTCGATATATTTCTTCAGAGTGCGTCCATAAAACACTGCAAGTGCACCTCGAGATGCAATGGCTCTTTGCACAAAAGACTGGGCACATTGCTCAAGTCTCATGATGGTCTTCTTTGTTTCATCATTCTGATATCTTACCACTGTAATAAAACAAAAAAATATTAATAGACAAATAATCATATTATTATAACACCTAGAAATGGATAAAGTCAATGATAAACAATAGTATTTTATCAGTAACTTAACTGTTTTTGTAAACCTCTATGAAGGCTGACCAGCATATTATTAATAAAAGAAGTGTTCATTCGATTATAAGAAAATTCACAGGAACAAGAAAAAACTCTAACAAAGAATGAATTTTCATTTAAAAATTCAAACCTTTAAATTCAACCTTTTAACAACCTTTGAAGTAAATTTAAAAATCCTGTCCAGAGGGTGACCTACAACACAACAGTAATGTTGTCTGTCTTATGACAAGGTGGCTATAGGCTCTGAAAACAGAATCAAACCATCCATTTCTGGAAACAGAATTAAACCATCCATTTACATGGTAAGTTGTGTATATTTAGTGCTTCCTAGATCCCACATGACGAATACCTTGTGCAATGGGCTGCGCTTTTCAAAATGAAGAACCTTAAACAGAACTGTGATCATTATACAATGTATCTAGTGTCAGCTGATTTACCTTTGGTACTTGCATTTGCATCTTGATCAGTTGGACCTAAATCCATTTCAAGAATCTGAGCAAGCAACATCAAGAATATGAGAGATAAACAAACACAATTAAATATGGGACATTATTACCATTCAATGCAACATAATACTTACCATTCCCTCAGCATCAGAATAGTAAGGAACTTCATGCTCCTCATCGCTATCACTATCATAATCATCATCAGCATAACCTTTTTTCTGATCAATGCATAACAATTTTTCTTCTATCTCACGAAAAGCCTTATGCTCCTCTTCCTTTGGATGAGTGCTAACAGGTGAAGGCAGAGCAATAACTACCTGTAAATAACATGTAACTTCAATTATGTTTTCTTAATAGAAAGTATAATCATAAATTAGTTCCCTAAAGAGCTTTTCAATTATGGAGTATCCAGCAATTGACCCATCTAACCTCTGGTGCCGGATGTCCATATGAGGCATGCTTCATAGTTGCAGGATTTTCAAATTTTGGTACAGCAGCAACTGAATTTTCCTTGCTTGAATTTATATTCGGCACTAATCCTGGCCGAAGTGACTGAGAAGCTGCAAAAGAGCTTGAAGGGGTGTCTTTTCTCTTCAAGCCTTCTTCTGGTTCCTTTTTTGTTAGATTAGTAGTAGAGGAATCCGGATACCCCACCTTTTTAACAATTGATATGGGTTTCGGAATTGGAAAATTAGGAACTAATACAGTGGATATGTGTACAGAATTAGGACCTACAGCGGTTATGTTTACAGAACTAGGAACCACTACAGCGGCGGATATGTTTTCAGAATTAGGAACTACATCGGATACTTTTGCACGGTTGCTGTCATCAGACGGGGAAGGGATATTAGGGTCCTCAGTGTTCAATGAACATAGCCTAAATTCATTTGCAGTCTTAGGGTGACATGTTTGCGCTGCACCAGACGATTGTACTTCATTTTCACAATTAGAAGCAAAACCCACATCACCAAGACTGCTGCCTGACGAGTTGGCAACAACCTCTAACACAGCAGACGGACCATTTTCCATAGCAAGTTGTGTTTCTGCAACCAACTTCTGAGACTCACCAACACCAGGAGAAGGCAAAAGATTTGAATCAACATTAACATCAGACTGCTTATCCACCCTAGTCTCATCTTTCTCATCTATATTCATTAACATAAGCCCGTCTCCATTCGGAGAGTTCAAGAGAGCATGAGAAACATGAGGAATCATCTCTTTCGACTCAGAAACATGAAGCCCATTGTTAGTTGCAGGGACATCCTCAATTGTGTTCCTAATCAGATCTTCACTCATTGAAGGAGATGAGCCCGCCCTAGGTCTCACTAACCCCAATTGATTCCACTCCTTAACTAAACTATCAACAAGCAAATTTGTATTCACATCCTTATCTAAACTACAACTAACATTACCAGACCCACCAATTTCATTTCCATTGGTGTTTTTCTGAATACACATGTCATCATGTAAAGCCATATCAAAAGAATTAAAAAAAACCTCGGTGCGAAGTCTCTTCCGCATGGCATTATATACCTTGCGAATAGTCTGAGTCTTGCGCTTGGGAGCAGCAAGAACTTCCTTGGTTCCGTTGCCATTAGACTTGGCAAGCTCCAAATTCTTCATGGCAGCAGAAGCTTCATCGGAGACATGGGAATCATAGAGAACAGAATGCCAGCGTTCCGTCAAGTCCCTAAGTGAATACCTCCGGGAGAACGAAACAACTCCTTTAGCCAGCGATTCCAGCGAAGCTCCGGTCTGAAGAAAACAATTGGGCATAATTGAGGTTATCAAACACGAAAGGAAGAACGATCAACCGTCTAGGGTTTCAAAAAACGAAATGAAATTACGGAAAAGGAGTGACAGTATATACATAGAGACGAAGATTATACCTCAATGGCGTTCTTGAGGAGAAAATCGTCATCGGAATTCCAAGGAGGGAGAGGTGAAACCGGGTCCATGAGAGAGAATGAAAAAGATCTGAAAATTGGGGAATTGTGAGTGGTGATATAGATAATATAAACTGTGAAAGAGTGATGAAACTGGAAGTTAGTGAAAACTAGAACAACTCACTAACGCTTGCGGAGAACGTGAGTTGTCTTGTTCTTGTGCTTGTGCTTGTGCTTGTTAGAGTAATCTCCAAACCTCGTGACTGTCGTGACTCTTGACTTTATGGGATATTCGATCAAATGATTCTTACTACCACTGCATCATTCAGGAGGACTGGAGTGAAGGTACCACTTTCATTTCATTTCTCTTCAACAAATCAGATACACTGCTTTTCTTTTATACTTGAAAAATATATCTTTATTTCATGTTTTTGTTTTTTTTTTACTGCCATATTTTGTTCATTTAATAGTACTCTTCTCTTCTCCAATAAACACAAAACTAGCTTAAATACGTTTGATTAAACATAAAATATTAAATCTAATTTTTAGTAAATCACTATGATATTATATTTTAAAAAATCTAATTCATATAACAATTTTCAAAATATATAATTTTATTTTTAGGATCGTTATTATTATTTTCCTTTAAATTAAATTATACTTGTTATTTATAATTATTACTATTATTTATTGCTATACTTGGTTTTTTACTTCTTCTAGATTTTCTCTATTAAAAATTATTTTATTTGAAAAAATGTTAAATTTAGAATTTTTTTAATAATTCAAATTCAAATTTTATTAATTAAGTTTTCTTAATATTTAAATTATTTTTAATCCACAAAATTCAAACTATATTTGTTTATAAATTATTCTTTGATAATAGTCTCGTTTTCTTTTTATCAAATAAATAAATTAATAAGACCGACCAAAGTCTAAGACGAGTAAGGTAATTAATATATATATATATATATATATATATATATATATATATATATATATATATATATATATATATATATATATATATATATATATATATATATATATATATATATATATATATATATATATATATATATATATATATATATATATATATGTGGCTAAAGCATTGCTATATGGTTTAGCTATTTATAATATATTTTTTATTTTAGTAATCAGGAGCATAGCTATATTTTTCATTTTAGTAACTACGAGCATGACTATATTATAAAATTAATCATGTATAATTTTCATAACTATTTTTTATTTTAATAAAATGTTGAAATTCTATAAATTTTTACACAGTTAAATTTTACAATAATAAAAAAGTTGGTTTAATTTTAGCTAAATATTATTTTTTAAATTAAAATAAATAAAAAACTTGGTTTAATTTTAAATAATAATTAATTAAAATTAAACCAACTTTAAATCTCATTCATCAACAAGTTAGAATCACCTGATGGAATAATATAACAAGTGTGAGTAAGTGGAGAAATAGTCATACATTGAATAGGAATATGAAGACTTAAGCATATATAAGTGGGAGAATACACTTATCTATCACCTTAAGGTTTTAGGTGGATAAGCGGTGTGTCTCTCACAAAGGTGTTTAGTCTTACACTATGTATCAATCCCCTAACAAATGATATCAAAGTCAAGTTCGAGAAAAGGACCGGAAAAATAGGAGAGTATTGTGGACTCACACTTAAGGAGTTGATAAAAATAAAAAATATGTAATATTTATTTAAAAAGTTGAATTTTGCTTTAAGTTTTACAATGTGTTGGATCGGCTATGCAAATTAATATATACTTTAATTATGATTGACATAAATTTAAAATATGTTTAGTTTGATGTAACGAAGATGGGGAGAGATTTCAATAGAGGGGATGGTGAAAAATAAAGAGAGGGGGAAAGGACGGTTGTTTGGTTTAAATGATACGATAGATATATGATATGATAAAAATATGAATAATAATGTGATAGGATAGCAATAGAACATATATGTTGGGTTGAATATGGATGTAGAATGGTCTAGAAGTAGAGGGTTGAATAAACCTTTGATAAAATTGTTTTCAAAATATTTTCTAAAATCAGAGTTTAAAGTTGTGGGGAGTGAAAGTTTTTAAAATTCCTATGTGGAGAAATTACATGATTGAGTTAATGTATAGAAAATACAACGATACTGGGTTGATGAATTCACTAGTAAGCAATATGCTAATTAATCAAATTCAATTTACAACGAGATATTTGAACACAATTTTATTAATTGAATTAGCAATCTAATAGTACAGTTTGTTTGTACAAATATAATCAACACAAATAATATTTAGTCAACTAGATCTAGCACAAACCTAAATTTAAATATTAAATCATTATGAAAAATAAAACTTAGCAATACGTAATTTAAGAAAGCGATTAAAACCTAATAACATCTAAATCTATACAAAAATTAAAAGAGATGGATAAAGAAAGTATACACCACAATCTAGTCTTCAATGACAAGTCATTGAAAATTGTTTACTCTTCCACTAATTCACAAATAACTACAAGTGTCTTTTGAAACAATAGTTAATCATAGACAAACTTAAAAATTAAAAACAACTTCTAAACAACACAAATCTAATAAATTCATCTTGAAGTGTAAAACCTTCAAGGACGTAGATGAACTTATCTTCATAATCATACACAACTTGTCATGATAAAAACGGACATTGTCTCCATCTAGATAGTACCTCAATTGTTTCATCGCTTGATCATCAAACAACTTTGACACTTCACGAAGATCAAAATTAGCAAAAATAATACCATTTATCTCAAGAATAATCTGGATAAGAGAAGTGTATAAGAAAGGGAGGCCAATGTTACCATTGTAGATCATGATTTGACCAGTTATAAACTTTACCTAGTTGATATTGGCCTTCATGAGTAAAATTAACATCACAAATAGGTCAGTTTCATTAGCATTTGCATGGTTACGAGCCTTCATGTAATGGATTTTCACATTAATATAATAAATCATATGCATTTCACATTTCATCTGACTAATGTGAAAACTCACTAAGTTTAAACGTCTTTTGAACATGATTTTTGAGATTGACTCGATAAATAAAATTTACTGATACTTAAGTGCATAGTTTTGAGGATCAATTACCCCACCCTTGTTTTCCAGCCTAAGGAGAGACCGAAAATCAGCATTAGTAAATGTTACCTTTACCTCTGAAATGGAATTACAGTCCATTACCTCAAGTTTCCTTATTGATGAGGAAGTAAAATGTGTTGAAAGAAAATTGGTTTATTTCATATCCATTGGGCTTTGATGATAACAAAGTATTTGAAGAACAATTGGATAGACAAATGTGTGTTTAAGTATGTAGGTACAAAGATCAATATACTGATTGAAAGTTAATTCTGAAATTGCATTAAACATTGAAAGAGAAACTTTCTAAGAGGAAGATGTTGCACCCCAAATTCTCCCTTTGGATTTTAACCCTAATTGGCTTATACTTCATCATTGTATGCATACATACATGTTATAGGGTCCATACTCATGGGATCAAGACATTTCTCTGCGAGAAAGAGCTATAAAAGACAATTGTTCCGTTAAGCAGCACTGTGAAGCAGAACTCAGGGTTTCTCGTATTTAAATGCACACTGCACGTGTTCCAAGGTATTCAATCAGAAATTAATCAATCCATCATTATATCAGTCTCTCATGTGTTTTGGCACGATTTGAATTGCAGAGAAAGTCAAGCGTTTCAGTTGATATGAGAAAGTTCAAGCTGAAAATAAGTATTTTGTGGTTCGAGGATAAAATTTGTAACTTCTGACCGAAAAAGGTTTTGGAATGGCTCTTCAGGCATTAGAATCGTCTTGTTATCTTCAATTTATATGTTCAGGTCGAAGGCTAATTTTGTAAGGAAGATCTTCAAAATTGTAAATACCTAAAATCATGTTATACATTGGATTTGTTGGTCAATTGTTTGTTTGGATTGTTCAAAAATTTGTAACTTTTGACAGGAAAATCATCCTTGGTTGTTTCTTAGAGCATTTGAACCGGCTTGCTATTTTATTCAGTTCATATGTTTGTGCCGGAAGCTGATTCGGTGAGGAAGACATAAAAAAAATACAAATTACCTGAAAATGGTGCGGTGAAACAGTGTGTTGATCCGTTATTTTTCAGATGTTCAAAAATTCATAAATTTTGCCTAGTTAGACGTTTTTGAATGGTTCTTTGGACATAAAATCTGTATTGATGTTGTCCTCACTTTGTATGTTCAGGTTAGAAGTTAATTCTTTGGAGAAGATCTATGAAATTGCAAAAATACGGTGAAAATCGCATGCTGAAGCAGATCTCTGGTCAACTGTCGCGCAATATTTCAAAAATTATAACTTTCTCAATTTTTATTGTATCGAGACGATTCATTTGGAAATATGTCACAAATTTTGCTGGCTACAAGTTTGCTTCAGGTCCCGAGTTCGGATTGTGCTCGGAAGACTTTCGTTTCTGGCTTGTTTCCAAAGTCGTACACCAAAATAAGCTGAAAAATTGTAGAGGGTTTTCTGTCTCAAGTTTCTTGCCATTGAAAAATTCATAACTCTATCTATTTTTATCATATCAGTGTGATTCTTTCGTCACGACATCACAAATTTTGTCATCGACGATTTTGTTTCAGGTTGCGTATCAGAATTATGCACGGAAATTGATGACCTTGGGGTTTTCTCAAACTGCACACCAAAATAAACTGAAAAATATACACAGGGAGTTTTTTGTCAATCGTTTCTCGCCATTCGAAGAATCATAAGTCACTCAATTTTTATGGTATTGGGGCGATTCTTTTGGCAATGCATCACAAATTTTGTCATCGACGTTTTTGTTTCAGGCTGCGCGTCAAGATTATGCACCAAATGTCACAAGTTTTGGTTTATTCTCAAGTCGTACATTGGAATAAGTTGAAAACTCCGCATTTAGTCAAAAATACACTTGCCAAACAAGCCTTGGAGTCCTTTCTATATATTTTTGAAATTCAAATTGAACAAAACTTTTACCTCATTCTTAAAAAATCACATTGAAAATTCTCTATTCTCTCTC